GGAGGGCGCGCGACGGGAGGGCGCGACGGGAGGGCGCGACGGAGAGGGCGCGACGGGAGGGCGCGACGACGGACCGCACGACGGAGGAGCGCACCAACGGGCGCAGTAGGAGGATGCGACGGCCGGAAAGCGCGTCGTCAGGCGCGACGCGAGGCGCACGACGGAAGGGAGAAGCGGGCGGCGGCAAAAAGGCGCGCGACGGAGGAAGAAGCGGCGCGCGACGGAAGTTAGCGCGCGAGAAAGGGCGCACGGGGGGGCGGGAAGTAGCCTAAGGAAGGGCTAGACTTCGAAGATGAGGAGGGACAGCATAGGGCCGTGCTAGTTAGGATCGAATCGAGGTGGCGTGAGCCATTGTGGCTCTGAATACCATGAAGGAACTAGCTTGGAAGAGAAAAGATTGAATTGAGTAGGGAGCCAGAGGCTCTTTTTGTACAAAACAAGGAGCAAGAAAGAGTTGGAAGGGAAGCTCTCTTATTGGCCATAAAGTGGACCAATGGGGGAGGTTGCTTGTAGGGCAAGCAACCACAAAAGTGTGGTGCTCTCCTATTGGCACAATGTGGACCAATGAGAGAGATTGCTTGGAAGGCAAGCAACCACAAAGTGTGGTGCTTGGTGATTGGTTGGTTCCTAGGACCAAAGACCATTTGTTGGAATATGCCAACCAAATGTCTAGGACCAAATCCAATCTTGACCAACCCAAATGTGGGTTGGTCAACCCAACCAACAACCCCCCAATAATTATAATGACTACACCTCCTAATCTAGGCATGCATGTTGTATAGTATATATATTTTACAACAGGGGGGGCGGGGGGGGGGGGAGTTAGGAGAGGCTTGTGGCAACTCTCAAGTCAAAGGAAGGAAGAACAGGAGAAATGGCCACCACTTCCAGCGGTCGAGATCAGTGCTTTTGGATGGGGGGTTGGGAGGGGGAGGGAGAGGGCTGCGGTCCACACTCGATATTTTTTCTAGGCGCCTCAAAAGCAGTCACCCTTCCACCCCCATTTCCACAGAAACACAATGCACTCCCTCCCCCATCTCACAGGTGAGCAATGAACACAGAGGGTACTGAGCACTGAGACCCTGAGCCTTAACCCCTCCCCTCTCTTCCCTCCTTTCTCAACCTCCATCTTCCTCCCTCTCACCGGTGAGCACGAACAGAGAGTCATCCAGCCCCTCGTGAATGTAATTCATAGCCAGCAGACGGTTCTGAGAGAGGGAGGTGGGGGGCGAGTGGGGAAAGTGGGGAGAGCAAGGAGAGCAGGGACAAAGGTTGAGGCGGGAGGGACTAGAGAGTCGTCCAGCCCTCGTGAATGCAATTCATTACCAGCAGACGGTTCTGATGGCAGCGGGGGAAGGAGAGGGTAGGGGAGCCGAACTTGAGTGGAAGAGGTGCCAGGAGGGAGTCCGTCAGACCCTAAATAATGTATTTCAATCAATTCATGGCTAGCACGGGGCCACCAGACGGTTCTGATGGCAACACGGGGGTTGCCAGAGGGGAGCGAAGTGAGGAGGGATGAGGGTTTGCGTGCCAGCGAGCACAGACTAGTTAAGACAAACACCGCAAAAAGCGTAGGTCCCTGCCGCGAAGCCCCTCACCTGCCGGCATTTCTTGAGCCAGGGTCGATGGCAATTCACAGCAGGTAGGCCTGCCCGGCCTATCGCCTCACCTGCCCGGCATTTCTCGAGTCGGGGTCGATGGCAAGGCACTGCTGGTAGGCCTCTATGGCTGCTGGGATGTTGCCCGCGTCTCTGTGCAGCACGCCTGGGAAAGGAGGTGGTGGGAAGATGAGAACCGGGGATGGACGGAGAGAGTGGGATGCCAAGGCACTTGCTGGTAGGCCTTATGATGGCCGCTGGGATGTTGCCCGCGTCTCTGTGGCAGCACCGCCTGGGAAAGGAGGTGGTGGGAAGATGAGAACCGGGGATGGACGGAGAGAGTGGGATGCCAAGGCACTGCTGGTAGGCCTCTAGTGGCCGCTGGGATGTTGCCCGCGTCTCTGTGCAGCACGCCTGGGAAAGGAGGTGGTGGGAAGATGAGAAACCGGGGATGGACGGAGAGAGTGGGATGCCAAGGCACTGCTGGTAGGCCTCTATGGCTGCTGGGATGTTACGCGCTCGCGTCACTGTGCAATATACCTGGAAGGACAGAAAAGCGGAAGCATGGGGAGGAAGGGGAGGAGTACACTGAGAGAGAGGGCGGAGGGCGGATGACAGGCGGCAAGAGGAGACGGAAGCAGTTGCAATGGCATTCCAACCGAACATCTCAACAGCTCAGCACCATTGCACGCCAATTAAACACTCGCACATCTCAACAGATCACTTGTGCCTTCTCGCCTTGTGCCTTGTGCCTTTTCGCCCTCCGTCCTTACCCAGGTTGTTGTGTGCCTCGGCATAAGCGGGGATTGGCGAGAATGGCAGCTTGAATCCCCTTGAGCACTACTGGCCCCTCCTCTACCTTCTCCCCCTTTGCCCCAGTCCCCTCCTCCCCCCCCCTTACCCAGGTTGTTGTACGCCTCGGCATATGCAGGGTTGCGAGAATGGCAGCCTGAATCATGTTGAGCGCTAGGTCCATCTTGCCCTTGGGGGGTTAAGAGGGTGCGGGCGAGAGAGCAGGGAGTGGGGGGAGTGGGGGGAAGGGAGATGGAGGGTTAGAGAAACCATGGCAACGTGTGTGAATCCTGTTGTGCGCCAGAGTTATCTTGCTGCTGACGCCGCTGGTAATCACCAAATATACATGCACACACCAACACACACCTGCACTGCACGGTGTACACCACTCCCAGGTTGTTTGATGCGCACGGCCTTATGGTTAGACATGATCAAAACGCGATTGCGATTTAAATCGCATCGCATGCAGGTGCGATGTTTAAAAAAGCGATGCGATTTAAAATCGCATCGCGCGATTTATTTTTCCAAAAAAAAAAAAATCGCAAATCGCATTTTACCCGCGATGTATTAAAAAAATCGCATGCGATATTTAATTAGATCGCGCAATGCGATTTTAAATCGCATCGAGTTTTAAAACAGAATTAAAAAACACCCCAAAAAAAGAGAAAAAACACATGGCTGCGGGGAAATTGACTCACGGGCAGTCGTAAGCTAGAGTGCAAATAACCAGTGTGGTTTTTCGTAGTGGGTTTCAGAGTGGGTTTCAGTGCAATATCGCGCGCGATTTAAAAAAAATCGCATATCGCATTTAAATCGCGTTTTTTTGCGCGATTAAAATGCGATTTAAATTAAATCAAGCGATATTAATTCATCGCATCGCGCGATGATTTAAAAATTATATTAAAAAAAAAATTAAAAAAAAAAAAAAAAAAAATCGCCATCGCAAAAACGCGATTAAATGCGATGCGATGCGATTTTTTTTGCCCATGTCTACTTATAGTAGCACTCCGAGGGAGCACCTTCTGGTAGCACTCCGAGGGAGCACCTTCTGGTAGCACTCCGAGCCGAGGGAGCACCATTTTGGCACCATGACTTTGTGTGGGCAGCAACTGTAAATGTAGAAATTAGAGGGTAGATGCTTGTTTGATGCGCACGGCCTTCTGGTAGCACTCCACCGCCTACTCCAGGTTGATGCTATGACGCACCTGCCTCACGCACTCCTGCTGCTGCTGCTGCTGTTGCTGCTGTTGCTTGCTGTTGCTGCTTTGGCTGTTAATCAACCAATAATATCCATGCACACACACCAGCACACACCAGCACGTGCACACCACTCCCAGGTTGTTGAGTGTTTGCGAGAAGCTGGGCTTGATGCGGAGCCCTTCTGGTAGCACTCCGCCACCTTGTCCAGGTTGATGCTGACTGCCTACCTCGCATGCTGTTGCTCGAGCTCCTGCCCTTGCTGCCGCTGCCGCCTGCTGCTGCACCTACTGCGTCTCCTGCTGCTTCACCTGCTGCTGCCGCTGCTGCTGCTGCTGCTGCTAATTAGCAACAAGCCACACACGCACCAACACATACCTGCACAGTGTACACCACTCCCAAATTGTTGAGCGACTGCGAGAAGCTGGGCTTGATGCGGAGCGCCTTCTGGTAGCACTCCACCGCCTTGTCGAGGTTGTCCCTGTCCTTGTAGATCACGCCCAGGTTGTTGCACGCCTCGGCGCACTGCGGGTTGAAGTGAAGAGCTAGTTCATACATCACCACCGCCTGGAGTAGCACATATAAGAAGGAGGAGCAGAGGTGGTGCGAAGAGGTGGTACAAAGAGAGCAAAAGGTCGTGTATATGCAGTTCTAGAGGTGATGCGGTCCTTGTAGATCTCACACACGCGGAATGTTGCAAGCCCCGCGCACGGCGGGTTGAAGTGCAAGGCCCGCTCGTACATCACCACACCAATGCCTGCAAGCAAGGAATGGTAGGTAGGGCAGATGGAAGTGGGATGGGAGGTTTTCCCTAGCCCTGCAGATCACCCCAAAGGGCGAGCAGGCGCACCTGCGTGTGTGCATGCATGCATGAGGGCATGTGCATGCATGTGTTCTCGTCTCACCATGTCGAATTTGAGCATCTCCCCATAGGCCACCCCCAGGTTGTACATGGCATCGGCATAGTGCGAGTTGAACAGCAGCACGCGCTTGTGTGTCGGTTGGCATGTGTGTGCTTGCGCGCATGTGTGCATGTGTGCCCCTCGTCTCACCATGTCAAACTTGAGCATCTCCCCATACGCCACCCCAGGTTGTACATGGCATCGGCATAGTGCGAGTTGAACAGCAGTGCGCGCTTGTAGTGCGCCACGCCTGCCGAGATGTCTCCCTCTAGCTTCACCTGTAGAGGGGGGTGGGTGGGGTGGGTGGGTGGGTGGGTGGGTGGGTGGGTGGGTGGGTGGGTGGTGGGTGGGTGGGTGGGTGGGTGGGTGGGTGGGTGGGTGGGTGGGTGGTGGGTGTGGGTGGTGGGTGGGTGGTACGGGCATAGAGAGAGACAGAGAGAGGGAGGAGGATGCGGGAAATGACTGTGCTTGTAGTGTGCCACGCCTGCTGAGATGTCTCCCTCCAGTTTCACCTGTAGGGGGGGGTGGGGGTTTGTGGGGTGGGTGGATGGGTATGAGAGACATGGAGAGGGAGGGAGGAGAGAAGGGAAATGGCACGCTTGCATTGCGCCCCGCCGTCCGACATGTCGCCCTCCAGCTTCAACGGATGCAGGTGTGACGCGCCCTGTGGATCAGTTGAAGAATGGAGTTGATCCGGCAGCGCGCATTCAGCCAAATTCTGGCATCAACCCATAACCCATTTCCAGCCTTACCTTGGTGGCTAGTTGAGACAGCATGGTGGTCCTTCCATCCTGTGTGACCTTACACGACACAGCACTTTTCAGCTGCAAAAGAACTGGGTGCGCAGCTTGCGATTCCTCCCCAACTTGCCTTGGTGCCCTGGGCTGGGTGTGCGACCTTGCGATCACCGTGATGCTCTGCGTGTGGCTTACCTGGCAGGCAGCATTTACCAGCCTCCCAACTGGGCAGCTTCACCTTACCACCGTCACCCATGCCTCTTTAGACTTGCGCGCTTACCTTGGTGCCCAGGTCCGTGAGCGCAATGGCCATGTTGTTGCGCGCAATGGTGAAGTTGGGAGCCACAGCTAGACACCTGAGGGATGGCGGAATGCAGACGGGGAGGGAGGCGGGGGAGGCGAAGGGGGGGAGAAAGGGAGCGGGGGGATGCAGAGGAGCAGGGGAAAGGGAGAAGGGCAGCAGTGCTTGGAGTGAACTTCATTGCGGTGGTGAGGCTGGCAGCAGGCCACGGACACACGGCTGGTGGGGTAACGCAAGGGGGGGGCGAGAGGGGGTCACCACCGTTCGTAGCACATGGTAACTAGAGGCAAGCAATGGCATTCACCCACCCACTGTTCGTAGCAGGCAATAGCGGAGTGTGGATCCCCGCAGTGCTTGTGTATGACGCCCATGTTGCAATGCTGGTTACAACCTGCACTGGTAACCAGAGGCAAGGACCCAGAACACCCCTCCACCCACTGACCGTTCGTAGCACGCAATGGCAGAGTGCAGATCCCCGCAGTTCTTGTATATTACCCCCATGTTGCAATGCGCCTCTGCATACAGCGGCCTCAAGGCCACGGCCTTGTCATAGAACTGCAGGGCTGCTTCATACTGCCCCATCTCCGAGTAGACCACTCCCAGGTTGTAGTAGGCGGGCTGGAGGCGGGGAGGGGCAGACGGAAGGAGTTGGGGAAAAGGGTTGGGGAAAGCGGTTAAGGAGAGGGGCGCGCCTCGGCATACAGCGGCCTCAGAGCCGCCGCCTTGTCGTAAAGCTGCCGCGCTGCCCCATCTCCGAACGGTCCACTCCCATGTTGTAGTAGGCGGGTGGAGGGTGGGAAGTGAGGGGGAGAGTGGGGCTTTTGAGTCGACTCTAAAGTCATCTTGTAGTGGCCCTATCTCCGAACGGTCCACTCCCATGTTGTAGTAGGTGCGCTGAGGGTGGGAAGTGAGGGGGAGAGTGGGCTGCGCGTGCATGCCTCCGCGTCGCCGTAAAACTGCAGCAGTGCCTCGCAACAGTGCCTCGCAGCGGTGCCACCACGTGCCTCGTACTGCGTACAAACTGATTTATGAGTAGACGACCCCCAGATTGGAGTAGGCCACCTGGAGGAAGCGACTGCACTTCACCGCACTGAACCAAACATCACCCCATCTTCATCTGTGCCTCACCGCGTATCTCTGTCGCCAGCAGCAATGGCTTCATAGTACTTGACAATCCCCTCCTGCTCTGACCGCCCCCCTACACAGCACAGAGCCACATACCACCACCGCAGATTACCTCATAAAACCGCATCTCACCGCATATTTCTGGTCAGCAGCTATAGCCTCGTAGTACTTGGCAATCCCCTCCGGCTCCGACCCCCCGCTTCAGCCAGCGCGTGCCCAAGTCAGCATTACACGGCTTGCTGTGCAACACAGAAATCACACACTACCGCATACCACCGACAATCATTGTCTCACCGCGTATCTCTGGTCTGCGGCAATGGCCTCGTAGTACTTGGCAATCCCCTCCTGCAGCCCGCACCCCCCCAGCTTTCAGCCGCGTGCCCAAGTCCAGTCAGCACCACGGCCAGCTGCTCTTGGGCTTCTTTGCACCCTGGGTCCGCCTCTAGTGCCTTCCTGTACGCCTGGGAAATTGGTGCGGGGGCGTGGGGAAGAGGGGTTAAGGCACACAGACAGCAGCCTTGTAGCTTCAGCCGCGTGCCCAAGTCAGTCAGCACCGCGGCCAGCTGCTCCTGGCTGTGCCTCCTGCACCTGGGTCCGCCACCAGTGCCTTCCTGTACGCCTTGGGAGGAGAGAGGGGGGGTGTGGTTGGGAACGGGCGGGGGGAGGGGAGGGAATTGGAGGACGAGAGATGCATAAAATTCATCCACATTCCATCACTCCCCATCCACATTCCCTCACTCCCCATCCACATTCCCTCACTCCTCTGCTTGCTACTCCTATCCCTAACCCATGCAACCAACCATAACCCATGCAACCAACCCATAACCTATGCAACCAACCATAACCCATGCAACCAACCATAACCCATGCAACCAACCCATAACCTTAGTTGGGCACTAACGATTTCTGGAGTTTCGTAATCGTAATATAACGCGATCATTTACGATTTCGCTAACGAACGGTGACTAACGCGTTAGTCCGCGCCGGGCAGGTAAAAAAATCTCTGAGAAAATTTCTGGTTCATGATGAAAGTTCTCTAGAGAAATCTTTGGGTCAGTCAGCATGCAACTCAGAATTAGGGCAGATCAACGAGATGGGGAGCTAGCAGATTTATACGTCGTGCTAGGGGGTGTTAGTGAGCTGCGACTTAGTAGCTTGTAGGTTTAGAGAGCAGTCGTAGTGCTCGCGGTGAAAGTTAGGAAGGAACGGTAAGATGCGAACCGAGAGAGAGGGATTGGGGGAGGGGGAACGTGTTGTGCAAGGGAGGGCGTGAGATGGGTTGCTAAGGGGGGTAGTTGCGTGGAATGTGTGGAATTCCCGCGATTCTTGGTTACATTCTGGAATCCGTGTCGGTGGAATTTGCGGACACAATAAGAACACGAGATTCCAACACATTGGAATTCCGCGCGGAGGTTTCATTCCTCCGGACAAGCCTCTGCCGAATTCCTCCAACACGCATTCCGACGTGGAACTCCAGAGTCTTTGGAATTCCAAGTCCTTGGAATGGCGTGTACCAGAAGTACACGAAATTCCAACCACACAAAATTTCGCGTGGGCATTCCATTCGTCGAGAAATTTCGCCACGGCGGAATTCCGCCAACAGTAAGTTGATGGAATTCCAACGAATCGAATTCCGCACTGGAATTTCAAACCTCTCGTGCACTCCAGGGAGACTTACGCATAGAATTGCGTGGCGTACAACCCACGCATTTCTGATCCATTTTCAAAATCGCCAAGTCGCCTTCAAACGCCAGAGGACTGAGACGAATCTAAATACCTCGTCATTAGTTTCCTGAAGCCACACAGATATCTGCAACCTAAGCTACTTTCACGTCCGACTGCCTCCTAACTTCCCATGGCGTCTACTACTAATGAGCACCCTGTGTGGAAGTACTTTCTCGTGCCTGAAGGTTCCGCATCGAATGCAACTATTAAGAAGTCCTGTAGATTCTGCAATAAACAATGGTCCCTTACCGTTAGTCGAGCGCAGGGGCATATTCTTTGGAACGACCCTAACATTGCCGCATGCAAGAATGCCCCTCCGAAGCGAAAGAGACTCTACGTAAGGTAGTATCGGAGAAAGCGAGTGGGCAGGAGGCAAAGAGGATAGCCTCCCAACGGACTATGGACGCTTTCACCAAGCAAACAAGTGAAATCGCCAGTAGCAGTGCTGGCGGCTCTACATCCGCAAGCGGCCCGGGGGACAGCTGACGCTCCAGGAATGTCGTCCCGAAACTGCAGCATTGACAAGCGCGCAACAGGCGGTTGCTACCTTTTTCCACGTTTGTCGTATCCCTCCCAACGTCGCCGAGCACGCCGCTTTCAAGGGCATGTTGCGGAAGGTGTCTGCTGCTGGGATTGGCTTCCCACCACCAGGGCGAAAGCTCATCATGGGACGCCTACTGCAGGATTGCAAGGCTAGCACGGACACAGCCCTGAAACCGGTGAAGGAATCATGGATCTATTTCGGTGTGAGCATTGCGACTGACGGGTGGACGGATCTTTGTAGCCGTCCCCAAATGAATTTTTTGGCGGTGAACACCACAGCGTCGTCTTTCTTGTTCGGCGTGGACTGCGGAACGAAGAAAAAGGGAGGCGATTTCATTGCGGAGCACCTCAAAAGAGCAATCACTATGGTGGGAGCCGGCAATGTCGTGGGGTTGCTAATGGACGGGGCGAGCCCTAACATTAGTGCGGCCAACATCATCAAAGCTACCTACCCGAAGGTGCAGTACATCCGGTGTGCAGCTCACACCCTGAACAATCTAATGAAAGACATCGGGGGGCGGAAGTGGGCGGCACGCATCATCACCAAGGCGCAGGATCTCATCTCCACTCTGAAGAATGCGCAGTGGATCACTGGTCACTTCAGGGAGCAGAATTCTCTCGTGTTGCTGAAACCCGCCGGCACTCGTTTTGGGACAAACTATATTGCACTACAGCGTCTACTCGATGTGCGGAAGGTTCTTGATCAAATGGTGCTTTCTTCAGGGTGGCGTGCTTTTGCGCACGGCAAGGAGCGGATGACCAAGGCACGCGAGACAATCAGGGATGACAAGTTTTGGGCTGGAGTTGAGAAGGTGGTACAGATTTTGAAGCCAATCTACATGCTTCTACGTGCAGTTGATGGAAACCAGGAGGTTATGGGGAGGATCTATGAGATGATGCTCGACTTGGAGGAGTCCACCAAGCAGGCATGCAGCTGCTTGAAGGCGAAAGAACGGCAGTGGGTTGCGGGTGCTGTGCGTCGCCGCTGGAACGAGAACATCAATTGTGCATTGCACGTGGCGGGGCGGATTTTATATCCACCGAACCAATATGAGAAGATATTTGGAGCGGGGGGGATGCTGAATGCTCGGGAATCTTCAAGCAGTTTATCGCAGACTACTACAAGGGGGAGTACACTGTTGACAAGGATGGGACGAGGGTTTTGATGGCTACAACGGTAGAGAAGGAGATTCTCATCTATGTGAAGGGGGAAGGCGCCATTGGTGAGGCTAAGGCACGTGCCGAGCATGAGCTCATCAAGGCTGGTAAATTGGACCCCACTCATTGGTGGGAGTTCAATGGTCATCAATGTCCCAACCTCTCCAAGCTGGCTTGCAGGATTCTTAAGCAGTGCGTGTCTGCTTCGGCATGCGAGACGAATTGGGGGTGTGGGAGTCCATCCACACAACCCGACGTAACCGCCTAGGTCCTAAGCGCCTCGAGGATCTAGTGTACGTGACACACAACTACCACACAGTGTGCAAGTTGCATGAGGATTTTGAGAAGCGTTTTCGGAAGGAAGGGCATGCGTCGATTAACATCGACGAGCAGCAGCACGATGACTACGAGCCGCTTGACGACGACGACATTCCAGAGGATGCATACTTTGAGGAGGAGGAGGAGGAGGAGGAGAGGAGGAGGAGGAGAGGAGGAGGAGGAGGAGGAGGAGGAGGAGGAGGAGGAGGAGGAGGAGAGAGGAGGAGAGAGAGGAGGAGGAGGAGGAAGAGGAGGAGGAGGAGGATGTAGGGGGGAAGAGGAGCAGGAGGAGGAGGAGGAGGAGGAGGAGGAGGAGGAGGAGGAGAGGAGGAGAGGAGGAGGAAGAGGAAAGAGGAGGAGGGGAGGAGGGGAGGAGGAGGAGGAGGAGGAGGACAACGAGGATGACTAGGAAGAGAAGTAAAAGACAGTTGGAGGAATAGTAGTAGTACCCCTATATGTGAGAGCTTGTGTGAGTGAACCAATATGTACATGTTCATGTACGTCACCTTATGACTCCCTTCTGTTTTTTTTTTTTTCGGGCAGCTCCAGAAAAATTTCAGCCTGACCGTAAACGTCAGTCCAAAACGGCGTCACCGTTCGTAAACGTAAATAAACTACGTAATCGTTCGAAATCGTAAAACACCGTAAACGTTAGATCCAACTTAGCCCATAACCCATGCAACCAACCCATAACCCATGCAACCAACCCATAACCCATGCAACCAACCCATAACCCATGCAACCAACCCATAACCCATGCAACCAACCCATAACCCATGCAACCAACCCATAACCTATGCAACCAACCATAACCCATGCAACCAACCCATAACCCATGCAACCAACCCATAACCCATGCAACCAACCCATAACCCATGCAACCAACCCATAACCCATGCAACCAACCCATAACCCATGCAACCAGGCCAAATTTTATCGACTTGCCCACACACACACACACACACACACACACACACACACACACACCACACACACACACACACACCCACAGACACCCCCGTCCCCCCTCCCCACCCCACACACACCCCTTCCCACACTAGGCTCCCTTCCCATGCCTCCCTGGCTCTCCAGAGCCCCAATCCCGATCCCAGCTCTGCACACTTATTCAGCCACTGACTCAGAATCTCTCTCACTCACACACACCCGCCCTCTCCCCATCGCTCCCTTTCCCCCTTACTTCCCCCTCCTCCACTCTCCTACCCTTCCCCCTCCCCCCCAATCTCCTCCCCCTTCTCCCCTCTCACCTCGATCGCCTCTAGCAAGTGCCCCTCCTCTTTATACAGCACTCCGCACTGCGTCAGCGCTACAGCATGCGTCGGGTTCAGCTGTAGCGCGGACACGTACGCCTCAAAAGCCGCGCTCAGCTTCCCCTGCGCCTGCAGACACTGCCCCTTCCCCACCAGCGCTTCCGCCGTTGCTGCTGCCGCGGCCCCCCGGCGCCCGCCCCTCCCGCTCCCCCCTCCCCCCGCGCCCGCTACCCCTCCTATCGCCCCCACGCCACTACCCGTTCCATTTCCCCTCGTCATAGTCACAGCTGCTCCTAATCTCTCCGCTATAATCGCCTCGTATATAGCGAGCGCCTCGTTTACTTTCCCACGCGACCTGAGCATAGCAGCATAGCCGAGCGGGTCCTTGACGGCACTGAGCCGCCCCGCTGCTGCTGCTGCGGCGGCGGCGACGGCGGAAGCGGAGGCGGCGGAAGCGGGGATGGCAGCAGCGGGGATCAAACCGCCCGCGCCGTTTGCGGCGGCGGCGGAAACGCCCCCCGCGACGGGGAGAGATGCGGAAACCGGCTGCGGGTATGTCGCGGCTGCAGCAGCGGCGGCGGCGGCGGCTGCGGCGGCGGCAGCGGCGGCTGCAGGGTCGAAATGAGACGAGACGAAACCGTTGGTTGGGAAGCCGGGGTGCGTGGGCATGACAGGGGCTTGCATGGGGATTAAAGCCGAGCCGGACGGGGACGCGGCGCCAGAGCCTCCTAAAGATGCGAATAGCGGGTTACCTAATGTGCTAGGATTCAACCCTGGTGCGGCGCCGCTGATGTGGAGGCTGCTGATTGGATGATGGGCACCAGGGGGAGAAACGGGATCAGAGCCGCAGAATTGCCTGGGTAAGGAGACGCGAACGGCACGTGGCCGTGCGATAGGGAGATGGACGGCTGAGATGCGCTGACTGGCGAAAATCCTGGAATACCCGCGATTGATTTTAACGAAGCGAGCAGGTGGTTGTGCTGCACGGACGCTGCAGCTGGTGATAATAGCGCGGCGTGATTATGGAGAGAGCCGGCTGGCGGGAGCAACATCCATCCACCAGCAGCCGCCGCCGCCGCAGCAGCAGCAGCAGCAGCCGCAGCCGCAGCCGCCGCAGCCGCTGCTTGATTCCCGTCGTGCTGCTCCAGAGCGCCCGCTTCCGAGCCAAAACCGCCGTTTCCGGCGCCGGAAATTGCGCTGGGAATCGCGCCGGGAGTTGCGGTACCTGGTCCGCCGCCTCCAAGGCCGCCGCCGCCGCTGCCGTGCGGATCAGCAAGCGGCAAGCCCGGACTCATGATCCGGGAAGCGCGGAGACGCCAGCTTGACGGTCAGATAGGCCGCAAGCGATTAGGGTTTCGCATGGCTAAGAACGTCGAGGAGGAGCGTTCTGAGAGCAAACGAAGGCTGTTATTGAGGTAATTAAGGGCGTTGTGGAACGAGCCTTAGACGAAACGTGCGTCAGCGAGAGAGTTCTGACGGGTATGCTGGCGATAAGTGCGGCGACTGACGTTTAGCTAAGCGCAACAGCTGTGTTGATTCCTGGAGTGCGACGTGGTAAACACCGCGATGAGGGGACGGATTGCGATGACGAAAAGGCGAGCGGAAGCAGGCTTGACTAATCGTCCGTTCTCGGAGGCACGCACGCACAGAGGTGATCTTTGGGTCGACTCAATAATTGTCCGTTCTAGGATGCGCGCAGGCACACAGAAAGGCAGGCAGGTCGCAAGCTAGTTGCTGACGGAAAAACTTCGATGGTGAATCGGTCCAACCAAAATGCTGAAAAGTACAAATCCCGTTAGGGGAAAAAGAGGGAGGATCTAGAGGGTCTGATCACTCGGAAACGCGATCCTACCTTCCAAATTGCGTAGCACTGGAAGTGATTAAAGACACCGAAACCGGGACGGCTGGTGAATAAACACGGTAACTCACTAACCCTAACCGGCAAAAGGCTGAAGCAAGCGGCTTCTACGTTCGGGCAGCTTGGAATAACAGGTGCAGTCCAGGAATGCTAATGTGCTGAGCTGGCATCCGGCATTCGTGCTGTGCATGGAGCAAGGGGGACAGCAAAAGCGGACAGATGGGGGGAGACCAGCAACGGGTGGACAGATGCGCAGTGGAAGCTGACAGGCAGGGGGAAGTGGTGTAGATACACGCACGGAGGAGGTGGAGAAGGTGGGGGTGGTGGGGAAGGAGGAGATCTCGAGGGGTTGTTGGGCGACAAACAAAATAAAACCCGCGAAACGGCTGACGAAGATTGAATGTCAGCCTTTAGTGGCACTATCAGGTTACCATCTAGCAGGAAAAGTCGCGAAGAAATGGTTTGAGGGAGTTTCAGGAAATGAACGCTCAAGATTGTTCTTCCTGGCTAATCGAGGGCTGCATGTTGTGCTGCCTTTCCAGGTTCGAAACTTGAAGAATCGGCGGCAGAAGACGAGGTGCACCTGTACTTCTGAATAGCCCAAACAGGAAATCGACCGTTCATATCCGTCAAAAGGGGTTTTGCTCCTGTAACCTGTCCCCCGGAACTGGGAGAACCAAGAGTTTGCATACCCACATTTACGTTCGGGAAGCCGTGCGAATCAACTCCTTCCATTCGAAGTTACCATTTGGCGAGGGGATGCGACATGGACGATCCCTTTATTTTTGCTGGCGATCTGTGAATGGCTGCGTTGCCTTCGGGGCAGACCTGTCGATTGAACGGCGCCTGAAATTCTACTCGTAACAGCCACCTTCGCTATATGATTGTATGCAATCCGCATTACAGTTTAGACGGCGAGGCTGTTCCACAATCATATATACTACATCATCACCTCACTTCTCCTTCAAGCATGGTGTGTGCAATGTGCATGCATACATGTGCTTCCATGCACCCCAAATATTTTTTTAAATAAACTGGGAAACTTTCAGTTACCATCGGTATTTATATACAACCCCGACATAAGAAGACTCCCAAGGATTTGCTTTCACGTGTATATACATGCATGCACTATCGCAAATAACTCGCTGGTGCAAATTTCATTATCGTTCCTTCCCACAGCTTAGGTTCATGCAACAGGCAAGCTGTTATGTTGGACAAAAACAACGATGCGACCAGTTTAGAGTATGGTATGGTACGACATGACATGATCTCCACCAAGTGCATTTCAATGTCATAATTAAAAATGTATCCAGACCTTTGCATCTCCCATGGCTTATTGCTGATGCACGTGCCATTGTTGGAATGGTCTGTAAGGTCGGCTGGACGAAGTCTCCATGGCGGGCCAGATGAGGAACAGCCTCACATCGTGGCTTGGAACTCGAATGCTCAGTTGCATCGTGTAATATTTCGACAGGTGTTGCAGGAGACTAAATATAGAACCTGCAAACACGAACACTTGGAAAACCTCAAGTGTTAGCCTAGGATCTTTACTGGAACGGTAGACTAGTAAGACAGCGGAAGTCTTGTAAGAATGAACCTGAGTATATATTTCTACAGAAGTTAAGTTTCAAAGTTCTCAAAGTTGAAATATCAAGGTTAATAATAAAAGGACAGAACAAAGACTTATAGCTCTAGGAAATTACCTGTTCGCTAATGTACCTGTTCATCACTATCGCGCTATGCGCCCTAGATGATAATGAAGAGGTGCGACTATTCGCGTGACTGAAACGACTGTCCTATGACGAGTGCTATTTGCTGACGTCATCCTACCTATTTATCTTCTACGGTAGGATTCGACACTATCTATCGATAAACGACTTACAGAAATGCTAAGTATGAAATATATCACAACACTCTCCTTCATTTCTGGAAGTCCGATAGAGTCACGTCTTGAAGATCCCGCAAAGTTTGTTACAGTATTGAAACTTGTGTCGTGTCAGCTTCTTCGTGAGGAAATCGGCAGCCATTTCGTTGGTCGGACAATAAACCAATCGCATCCTCCCCTTCTCGACTTCATCCTTGACGAAAAAGTAACGCAGAGAAATATGTTTCGTTCTGTTGACGAAACCAGGCTGGTGTGCGATGCGAATTGCACTTTGGTTGTCGCAGTGCAGGGTAAACTGGGTAGTCGTCGTTAACTTCGCTTCTTCCAATAGTTCCTGTAAGTAATGGCCTTCACGTGTTGCTGTGCAGACAGCGATGAACTCAGCTTCAGCAGAGGAGAGAGCAATCAACTCCTGTTTGGTCGAATTCCAAGAAATAGGTCCGATAGTTTCAAGCCGATAGATGAATCCAGTGCGTGATCGTCGATTAGTAGAGTCAGCAGCGTAATCGGCGTCGACAAAACCGTGTAGGTATAATGTTTTGCAACTGATGACGTTGTAGACTAAACCGACGTTAGGTGTCGATATAAAATACTGAAGTGCGCGGAGAAGATCAAGCTGATGCTCCTCTTCAGGACGGCGTAGGAACTGAGCGAGCTGACTGGCCGCGTAAGCTAGATCGGGACGACAAGTGACAGCGGCGAAGAGTAGACAGCCTAACTGCTGTTGATAGATCTGTAAACCGGTTGAATTTAACAGTGCAGTGTTCGGTTTGTGGTCAGTCGGTAGTGAGCGGTACGGTGTAGAGACTGCAGTAGGAGTGAGGTTGAAGCGGGCAGCGAGCGTTGCTGCGTACTTTGAAGCGGTGAGATGAATAGTCGTCGGTGAACAGGTAATGTTTAGACCAAGAAACTGTGAGACTGTTTCAGAGACGGTATGCTGCAGAGTTTTCTGTAGTTTCAGAATGAAGATATCAGCAAGAGAATCGGTAGTACTGACGTAGAGGATGTCGTCGACGTAGGCGACGAGCAAAATATAGTTGTTGCCGTCGGTCAGAAGATACATTCCATGGTCATGCGGTAGCTGACGAAAACCGGCAGTGATCAGCTGTGAGTGGAGGTACTGCTGCCAGAGCCGTTTAATGCCGTATAGCGATTTTCGGAGACGGCATACGCTCGGTGGTTAGTAGCATAGGAATGCGGGTACTCTACTAGGATGAGTGCGTCGACGGGTGCGTAGAGAAACGCATTTGACACGTTGATTTGTCGAAGTCGGAGATTACGGCAGGCGGCGACACAGGGTAAAATCCGAATGCTTGTATGTCGACCGACAAGAGCAAAAGTTAGTTCATAGTCGATGTCGTAAGTCTGCTCGAACCCGGACGACCCATCGCGCCTTGAATTTCTCAAACGACCCTTCTGCATTAGTCTTGACGCGGAAGACCCATTTTCCGGTAATTACCTTCTTTTCTTTTACTTCTGAAGTCGGTATTAAATCTCATGTGCCACGATTCTTGAGAGCTGCTAGCTCTATGTCCATGGCTTCACGCCATTTTTCTCGGGGAGGACTCGTAAGAGCTTGTCAAACGGTTTTCGGTTCAGGTATTTTACTGTCGTTGTGCTGTACTGCGACTGCGAATCCCAGTATCTGTAATCATGTTTCTGTAAAACGCGGACGTTCTTCGTTTGCACCTGCGAATTTTTCTTCTCGTCCTTCTTCCCCCCCAATTTCGTCAGGTGTAACACGTACTGCTTCGTCGGAGACGACGGGCATCGGCTGTTGTTGGCGATCGCGTTCATAACTGAGGTGAACTTCGCGAACATCTTGGTCAACATCTGCAAGAGGAATGAATGCATGTATGCCGGTCGAGGTGACAGGTTCGGGAATGTCTGTTGCGGCAGCTTCGGAAGCTTCAGAAACATCCTCGTCCTGCACATCAGCTTCGGCTTCGACAGTTGCAAATGCACGCGAGCCTTCAAACAGCCTGGCGGGGTTGGCAGCTGCTGCCTGGTGAGCACGAAAAACGGGCAAGGTGAGTCTTTCATAGAAGAGACAATCCCGTAATGGGACGATTTGGTTGGAGCGAATATCCAAAATCTTCCATGCGTGATACTGTTTTTCGATGCCGAGATGTACCCCCCATTTTGCTCGTTCGGAAAATTTGCCGAGTGTTGCAGTTGGAGGACGAAACTGCACGACACACCCGAAAACTTGTAAAAGTTTGGTACTTCCCACTGTACGTGTCCACTGCAGGTGTGGAGAAGAGAACTCGGGCAGGGACGTTGAAGAAAGAAGATTGTGTAACAGCACGGCGTGGTCCATCGCATACGGCCAAAAACGCGGTGGAAGGGCTGTGTCACAGGATCGAATGTCCCGAGGAAAGGTTTGCTCAATGTTGCCCTATCAATCAGTACAAGGTGCTTTTATACTTCCAGAATACATCAGGTAACCAGGTTTATCCTATCCAAAGGGAATAGACCCTTCTAGAAATAGAATCACCCTGCGTATAGCCACGCGAGGCTATTGGCTATAAGGGATTACGGCAGGATTACGCTAGATATAGCGCGCCAGTACATCCCGAGCCTGGTCGGTGATATAATCATAATAATATGATAAACCCAAGGATAATGGAAAATGAGGAATAGGAAACCAAATGAGATGAGATAAAGACCAAATGAATCAGGAGTGAAAGAGGAATGAAATAGAAATGAAATATGGAAAAGGGGAAATTGGTGTAACGGTGTCGTACTCTCACACTTCCCCCCCTCAAAGCTGGGTGGTAGACGTAACACCCTGCTTGACAAGGTAGTCGCGAAGAGGACGACGGGCGTTACCCATGTCGAATTCACAGACGAAGCCTCAGAAGTATCATAACCCTTCCAGCAAAGAAGAAGCTCCAGAGTGCCAGTCTGACGATGACGGTGTCCGAGCACGTAGTTGTCACATGGCGTGGATGAACACGGCGGCGACGGTGGTTGGCATTTGGTGTAGAGCGTGTTTGGTCTTGATAGGGTTTAAGAAGCTGGTATGGAAGGCGGTATGGATCTTCTAAGTGGCTGGTAGGCGGAAGCGGAAGTTGACTGAAGTGGCCCTTGCTTCAACGATGATAGACCCGCAGAAGCAAGGTTGAAGCTTGGATGGAAGTTGGCTGATGTCGAGATTATGGTGTGGATGACTGTAGTGATAAGGGGTCAAGTGCTTGTGCTGATGTTGGATGTCCAAGAGGGCGCTTGTGTGGTCGATGTACAAGATGGTGGACGATGGCGATGAAATCGGAAGCCAGTTGGACTGTGGCTGGTATGGTTAGCTGTTGTGGTGTGATCGGGTGGCGTCCGTAACAGACGAAGTACAGCGTCTGTGCAGTAGCGGCGTCAGGAGCATACTTGTAGGCAAACTCCAGGACGGGCAGATGCAAGTCGGAGTTGGAGATGTGAATGGTTGGAACAGTGTGCTGTAACGTGCAGATGAGTGGCTATGTTGTCCGATCCGTGCATGCTGTTACCCGCATCTGGTCCACGTGTGAAGATCACCAAGTGTTGGTGGTATGGCAGTCATAGTACTGCTTCTGTAGCAGTGTTGTATCCGTTACATGCAGCTTCTGTCGAATGATGGTCCATGCCGTAGTGTTGTCGCGAGTCGTACCCACTGGCATCGGAGTGCTGCGGATTGGAAAGCAGAATCACGAGTAGTAACTCTATCCACCACGCGATCTGCTAATCACACTGCCTTGAGTACAACAGCACATGCCAAGTGCTGCTCAGCGTATCCCTTGTGTTCAGAACCATGCGAGGGGTTGGAACCATAAACGCAAAGCTGGTAACTTCCAAATCGGCGCCAAGTAGTTTCCCTCGGTGGTTGCTCAAGCAAGGAATCTCAGCTGCGTAGATATCCCATGGTGATGGGTTAGGATATCTGGGAATATTCGGGGTATCCCCCAGTAATCCTCTCCCATTTCCAAATGAGTATTGCTGACAGCCAATCCAGTATGACCTTATGGCACGTCCAGTTTAGCACGGAGGCCATCGGTAGGCATCGGTGTCTGGCGCACATATTGGGATAGGTCTTCTGGTGCCATCATGCGTTGTCTGTTGCTGTCCTTGAAGTAGCATTGATGTCGAAGATGTCTCAGCTACCCAGCATCAGTGTTGAAGTCTGCTCCATTTCGGCAAACAGGGGTGTTGTTGGAGATACGCGGAGTCCACTATCCGGAGTGGCGTCGGCGCTCCATTTTCACGCCTATCTGCTTTCGTGGAGTTGGTGCTGGTGATGGATTGGTTGTGACGCAGGTTTTATGACTTTAAGGAAAGCCATAGGCCATGAGGACTTGTATACCGGTAGAG